CCAGATATCTGGCTCTTCCTTGCTCAGCTGACTTCTCCAAGTTCCCCTGTCCTGGGCCCAGCACCCACTGGCAGGTGGAAGCTACCTCAGGTCATTGCCTCCTTTTCCTTGCCCCTGGGCTTCCAGCTGGACCCACCTTTCCTTAGGAGTGCCGGGGAGGACATACTCAATGGGCCCCCAGGCAAGGAAGCAGGGCCTTGAGGCTCACTCATCTCAGTATCTCTTATTGCCCACCTGCTACCTGGTCCTGACAGCAGCTGCAGTGGGGCTGCCTCCCCCTCTGCTCTGCGAGTGTGTGGGCCAACAAAGCTGTAGCCCCAGATCTGGGGGCATGAGGCTGAGCCCAAGTCAAGGCCTCCTTCCCTGTTCCCTGGCATCTGGGTCAGTTGTGAATAAGGACACACTATTATAGAAACATGTGATTACCTGACAGCCTACATAAGGGCTTAAAACGGCTGCTAGTGGGGCTGGGGTAAGGCTCAGAGTGCTTGCCTAGCATGTGCCAGGCCCTGAGTTCATCCCCAGCACCACAAAAAAAAAAAAAAATTTTTTAAGTGCTATTGGTGATATCCCACACCTGCTGGCCCAGATCCCATGTGTACACAGCCAGGACCCCTGTAACATCCCTCTCACCTCCAGCTCACAGGGTGGGTATAACATGTAGTGCTAGCATTTGGCAGCAGACAGGCCACACAACCCACACCTGTGCTCCTGGGTGCTTAGATGCAAGTGCTGCAGCTAAGTCCCCTCTGTAGTGTGAGACTAGGTGGGCCCCACTCTTGCTAACCTGGGGCCTGGGTCAGTCAGTTGACCTGGATGTGTGTGAGTGAAAACCCGTTATCTTGTCTCCAGGAGCCTCAAGCTCCTCACTGAGAGGTGTCACGGACACCGCTACTGTTTGTCACTGACATGACCACTTGCCACTCTGGGCCCTTTCTGTGAGCTTCTTGTGGGTGGCCAAGAAGCCTGCTGTGTGCTCAGAACTTGGAGCCTGGGCTGGCAATGTTGGAGCAAGTCTCTGCCATAATGAGAGTCTGCCAGCCAGAGATGGAAGCAGAAACAGTAAACAGCAAGACAAAGAACAGTGGATCAGAGGAGTGGGGAAGGCCCTGAAAATGCTGCTTGGTCCCCAGGTCAGAAGCATGCCTGGTTGAGCTGCATTTCTGATGTGCTCATAGAAGTCTGGCATTTGGAAGGGAGGCCTTTTGAGTGAGGTGGAGCAATGGGAGGTGGTTGATAAGGATCCAGCCCCCTGGCAGGGAGTGAGAGGCACTTGTTTTATGACAGACCACTGCCTGTTCTGTCACTTGCCCTGAACGTGATGCTGAAGGGACTTGACAGTAGAGAGCCCTGTGCTGGGACTGGCTGCCACCTCCCACAGGCTTCACAATGACTGCACATGAAAAGGGACTGCCTGAGCCCAGAGTGCAGAGGGCCAACTTCACACACTACATCCCCCCTGCCCCAGGGATGCATAGGATGCAGGGAAGTGCATCTTAAGAGGTCACCCCTCCTTGTGTGTGAGCAGTGTTTCCTCTGCACTGAGGAGCTCCAGCAGTCAGGGAGACCCATGGGACAGAGAGGTGAGGAGGGGGCCCAGCAGGAGGGCTCTGGCCCCACCGTAGGAGGCCCAGTGCATGTCTTTTTACACACTGTCCTGCACACAAGTCTGAAGAAAAGGCCATGTGGCCAAGAGGAACACCTGAGAAACACCAAGTGAGATAGGCCTGGGTGTGGCTTCAGCAGTTACTGTCCCTCTCTGAGGCCCTCCCTCTCCACAGGAACACTACTTCTGCCTCATGGGCTCTTGTGAGAAAGAACACAAAGGAGGATGGTGACAACCTGTCCTTTACTTATTTTGCCATGTTTGACCTGACCACCCTAAGGGGGCAGGCCTATGCTGGAGAACTTGAGGCCCTGTACCTAGGGAAAGGTGGGGTTGCCCTCCCTCAGATGAGATGGGGTCTCTGGGCTCAGGGACTGGGGGTGTCTAAGCAGGGAAATGCCCTTAGGTCCATCTGGAGGTGGCCTGTGCTCCGCCTGCCCCACCAGACCCCCCAGGCACAGAGACAACACACTACTGGAGGTTAGTGTGGTATAGGATCAGGTGTGTCCTGTCCCTCAGTAGGGTCCAGAAGGGCAAGGATGAGGCTGTTAGCAATGGCTGTCACAGAAGCCTTCCAGGGCCCATCCACAAGGATGTGACTGAGCAGTGACTGAAGGAAGAACACCCTGCAGACATTCTGTCTACTGCTGATGGAAGGGCAGATGGGGGACAATGATAAGGACCCACTATGGGAGGTCCCACTGCTGTGGTGGGAGGGGGAGTGAGACAGGTGCCTCTACCACCTGTCAGTACAGAAAAGTACAGGTGCAGTCCCTACACACCTGTATGTGTGGCTCAGATGTCCTGTACCTGCTTGCATGGCAGACTCGCTGTCTCTCTCCACCTCAGGGTTGTGGCTGCTTTAGGGGCTCTGGTCCTAGGGACCCTGGGTATTTCCAACGAAGAGGTGAATCATGACATTCAACAGGAACTGAGCCACTGAGAGGCCAGCCAGGTAGCATAAGGCAAGAAGGTGGATTTATAAATTGGGTCTGAAGCAAAATACACACTTCCCAAGTGTCAAAGAAAATGACCTGCATTTCAACCAGGTGAAATCTGATAAGACCGTGAAGCTTTGGGGTCCCAAATCCCTGGCAACTGTGACCTTTCCAGGACTCAAAGGGTGGCAGTGGAACCCAGGGCAGGTGGTGCCTCACTGGGAGATGCCCCGCCACTCTGACCAGGTTGACCCTCCCACCCACGCTTTTCCTGTAGCTCCAGTCTGAAGCCATGGTCCTTTCCACCCCCCCGCCCCGCTTCCCTGCCCCAGGCTGGAGCCACACGAGATGGGCCCTCAGCTTCTCCACCTGCTCCAGAGTGCCAAGCCCTCTGACCTCCTCTGAGCACTTGTTCTCATCACAAGGTGCCTTGGGATTGCTCGTCTGATGTGGCTGCATTCTGAAGCATCCTGGTCTAGCAATCACTCCTCCTCCTCTACACTGATTATGCAGCTCCAGGGCTGCCTGCCTCAGGTGAGCAACTTCAGCAGAGCAGATAACAAACATGGTAACTGTGGGGTTGTATCTAAACTGGCTTTCAGACTCACTGCAGCAGTCACCAGTTTAAAAGGAATGGATTGGGAGAAGTGGCCTCCAGAAGGATCCAGAACATAACCTTGCCATAGCTTTGAGGGAATAGACAGAAGTCAAGCCACCCAGTACCTGCCCAAGATCTCACAGGCTGGGAGTGCAGCAAGAGTCAGAAGAGGAACAGGGCTGCAGGAAAGGAGGGAATGGCCCCGAGTGGAGCTCAGGTGGGCCACCCAGCTCCTGTCCTGAGTATGTCCCAATGTTTGTGGGCAGAAGGGGGCCTGAACCTCACAGCTCACCTGCTGCTCTGTATCCCCTGCAGTGGGAAGACTATCAGAGACCATTTTGGGTCCCCACTGGCACACTGCATGTATGACCCATGGGCCTGGAGACTGGCTGGGCAGAAGGAGGGAGGAGAAACCCAGAAGGGGCTGAAACTCCAGCAGGACTTCTTGTCAGCAAAGAAACAGGCCCCACGACAGAAATGAGCTCAGTGGCTTTTTGCACGCTTTCAGGGCAGGGCTGGGTGGCCCCCTCCACCACTGTGCTCTCAGGTTCAGCACAAGTCCCAGCACATTGGGGTTGGTGACAGTTTCCCCCGAACCCTCTCTCTGAGGAGCAAGTCTAGCAGAAAGTGCCATTACTGTCACAGCTAGGGGCTGCAAGGTCCTAGACTACCCGGTCCTATGAATGGAGACTTGGAACTCAGTATCCCAAGGGACCTTGGAACAGGGTGGAAGAGATGTGGAGAGGTGACAGCCAGGCCCTGCTGCTGATGGAGAAGAAGAGAGCCAAGTCCAGCCACCAGGAGTGATGGAAATAACTCATTCATCTCATATGTCACTTCCTCGATGAGGAGGACTTCACGAGTGAGACCTTACGTCAGAGCAGAAGATCTTGGGGACAGCTGGGAAGCCAGTACTTTGGGGCCTGGCTTCTTCACAGGGGACCAGATCGCAATGGCCAGGATTCCTCCAGATACTGCCCTGTGTGTGCCAGGTGGCTTCTGGATCACATGGTGCAGATGTCACACATTCCTAGTCAGGAGACCTGCAGAGGCATCCCCCAACCCAAGGGGTAGTAAAGCCATAGTAGTACTAGGGCTGGGGTAGTGCTATAAAGAGAGTTTGGCCAAGCCTAGAGGGGACCTCCTCCTGAGCTGGGAAGCCAAAAGGCTTGGCCAAGGTCATTTCCCTTGTTTTCTCCCCACCTTGTCCCACCCCAGGGTAGCCCAAAGAGTGCCCGTCATGAGAGCCAAAAGACTTGCCAAGAGAGCCCAGAAATGGGACAAATTAGGGATGTGTGCAGCCCATGTACTCTTCAAGGGTACCTGCCCCCAAATCTCAAGAAGACAGCAGGGACCTGGTGTGGTAGTGCAGACCTATAATCCCAGCACTAGGAAGGCTGACGTAAGAGGCCTGTGAGTTTGAGGCCAATATGGATTACATACAGCAGAGAGGTAGCTGGTTCAGGTTGTCTCTTCCCAGGAGCTTAAAAGAAACAAGAGCTGAGGCTCTAATAGCAGTTACAGATCTTAGAGGAACTTGGTCTTGGGAAAGGAACAGAGGATGAGACCCACCTGCTCCTGCCTAGCCAGAACGAGGGGTGCTTAAGAGGGGGCAGGGCCTGGCATCCCACAGCCACCAGCTCTGTCACCCTCAAAACCATCCTGCCTGGCCTCATGTGGTACCCTGTGCAAGGCACAAACACAGGGGAGCTGTGCCCCTCCTTAGCCCAGTTCATCAGTGCACACTCCCAGACACTTCAGTGACAGGCAGGCAGGGTCCTCAGAGAGCCAGTACCAGAGGATCTTGGTGCAGCAGGTTCTAAAAGAGGCCACAACCTTAGGCTACATGAGAACAGCATTTACTTCTTATGTGTTCAACAAGTGTTCAAGCCTGCTGACTCTGCTGGGCCTCAGGAACAGGGGTGTGAGAGAACTCAGTGCTGCCCACAGGCAGGACCAGCGTCATCCCCCGGCACAGAACCTGGTGGCCTCGGAACCTGCTGAGTGTGCTGAATACATGACAGGTTACATGGGGAGTGGATCAGGCTGGCAAGTGTGACAGGGTGCTGTGGTGGATATACTGAGGGCTCATGCCCATGGGAGACATCTCTACCACAAAGCATCCCTGGCACTTTTTGCTGATGGCCTGCAGGCTCTAGAACAGAGCACCCCAATAACTCAGGGAACCTCCCTGAAAGCAAAATTGTCTGAACAGTGGCCTTAACTCCCCTCTCTGGGGAGCCCTGGGGTCCTTAGTGGCTTGAGGCCACTGGCTGAAATAAGCCTGAACTGCCTGAGAGCATGTGCCTTTGTCCCAGAGTCCATGAGGTCCAGTCCTGCCCCAGATCAGGTTAAGGCCTGGCAGGGCTGGGGAAGGGAAGAGACGTGCGGCAGGAGGTCGTCTCAGCCAGCTCAGAGCACCAGCCCCCAGTTCATAGGCGCTGAGATCAGGCCATAGAGGAGCACAAAGTGCAGTGTGGCTCAGCGGCAGCGCTTGCTATCCAGGATGGCTCTCCAGTCATCAGCCCATGAGTGCAGCCTGCGGAGAGGGGGCTGCAGCTGCAGGTGTTGGTTGTGACAGGCTGTGAAGAGGACATGCTCCCAGCTGGGCTGCGACTCTGCCCCTGTGATGGAAAGGGAGAACCTCAGTCTAGAGGCTGGGATGGAATGAGTGTCCTCAGCCAGGTGTCTGCCTTGCTTAGCTTAGTTTCCTCATCTGCAAAATGGGGCTCACACAAGCACCCATCTCACAGATGGTACAAGGAGGAACTGAGGCTGTGCAAAAGCCATTAGGAAAAAAATATTCTGTATTTTCCCAGTAGGGTGTCTGAAAGAATCGGCTGCCACCCTGCATCTGTTAAAGGAGGGAACAGTCTGCTGGGGTGTTGGCAAACACAGCCAGACCAGCACACTGAATGTGGACTGACCCCAGCCCTTCGATCCCACCATGTCTGAAGCCCTCCTACCCCCGATTTTCATCTAAGTGAACCAGTAAGTTTCCCTTCTCTTTCTAAAGCCAGGTTTATTGGTTGATTTGTTTTCTGGAAGGGGATTAACTGTAAGCAAAAGGACAGACACTCAAACCACCCCCAACCAGGGAAACTGTGCTCTGATTTCCTGACATGTCTCAGTCTCACTTCAAACTGCTCTGAGGTAAAAAAGTGGGGGTAGAATGTTACTGTTAAAAACAAAGTTTTTTTTGCAAATCGGTCAGGTCCCCATTTTACTACAGGAAGGCAGACTTCAGAGGTGAGATGAAGTGACTCACCATGGCCACACGGCAATTAAGCCTAAAGCTGGTGACCTGAATTTCCTGGCTCTCAGCAGCACCCGCTGAGAGGACTGTGTCTCCTCACAGTAAGATGCTCAGGGCTGGCTGCAGGCTGGACACTTGACAACACCTGGTGACTGAGTAGGCAACAGGGACAAGGAGGCGGCCAAGGGATGGCACTCGGGAGAAAGGAGCTTGAGGCCCCTGGGCCAGTCAACCTGCTCCTCCCCCACCACAAGCTACTTGCCTGTGATGTCTGGCCGGTCGTCTATGAGAAGGTCAGCAGAGACCACCGTCTTGTCACTGGTCAACACCATTTGCTCCAGAAAGTCAGGGCCAAAGTGCTTCTCCACCCAGGCATACTGCAGGTGACAAGGTGAGAAAAAAGTGACATCAGACAGAGCTGGGGGACAGGTCAGCTTAGGTAGTGAGGAAAGGGAGATAATACCAAGGGCCAGCTCCAGGAGCAATGTGCGGGAGGAGAGACTAGACAGCCCAGGAAACTGACACTCAAGGTGACCTGTCCCTTGTCCACGTTCTGCAGCTAGAGTGAAGTAGAGCTTTTACTCAAACCCAGACTGATATCTCCAGGGCTACATGGCATGCCCTCAGCACCCCCAGCAAAGGACAGCCATGCTGGCACTGCTGCACCCATGGGCCTCCTCCTCCCAATGGAAGTCACTGGCTCCCTGAGAACATACAAGCAAGACAAGCAGCTCTGCCCTCAGCACTTCTCACTGGAGGAGTCAGCTGTCACTGGTGCACATGAGTGACAAGATACTAAGACAGGACCACAGTGAAGCAGTCTGAGGTGCTGGGAGAAGCCATGGGAACCTAGCCACCACGCAAGTACACAGGGCACACTGCAGGCTACTGGTGTCTCAGGTGTGGGGGTGTCTGTGGGTCTGACTGTGGAAAGCTGAGGTGCTAGAGTATGGTGACCACCACAGCTAAGGGTGCAGAGCACAGAATAAGGCATGTTGAGCCACTCACACCCTCACTGCTGTTGGGCTCTGGGCAGTCCCTCCCCTCCGCTTGTATACGTAGGTTCCCAAAGGAAATCTCCTTTCTCCTGCAGAGCTGGAGTCCTGTCACCATGGGAACTGTGGGGGTCAGCCTGCCCTTGCCACCCCGGTGCACCTGGCTCTATGAGAACACACTGAGTAATTCCAGGGGAATGGGGGATGGGCCCTGGGCCAGGGGGTCCAGAGCTACCCAGTTCTGCCTAGCCTGAAGTTCAATCCAGATGTTCTTCATCCTCCTTGATTTCTGTACCTGAACTTGCAAATATGGACTCTTTGTTTTTTCTTTGCACATGCTAGGTGGGTGCTCTCCTACTTGAGCTATGCTCCCAGCCCACAGCTACGGACTTTAACCAACACATGTTCCAGCAGAAGAGGGCAGGGTTGGGTGAGCCTTCTTCAGAAGCATCTCTGGCTCCTGCTAGGTGAGCAAACAGCAGACAGAAGCCCTGACACAGCTGCACAGGTGACAGAGGTTCACACACTAAGTGAGCCCCAGGCTCTGAAGGTAAAGGCAGTGATCCTGATGCAAAGCCTCAGGTGGATCTCTGCCCTCTCAGGAACCTCATGTAAAACAAGGGTGGCTTTCTTCTAGTTGGAAAGGCATCAAGCTAGGCTTCTCCACGGCCTAGGAATCCAGTGTATCCAGGGGTCACCAGAGAGGCAGATACTGATCTGCCATTCTGACTGCAGATGGCCCTGGGTGACCTGCCAGGATGCAGGAACACTGAGGAAACAGGACAGGGTTTTTCCGTCCCACTTTTGACTTTCTCTTTGTGCTCACAGGCCCCACTCACAATGGCCTCCTTGAGTTCTCAGTGGTTCTGCTTCTTCCAGCTCCAAGAGCTTCATGTGCAACATCTCCTCAGACTGGAGCCCTCCTTCATGCATACACACACACACAAAGTGCACACAGATACATGCACACGCAGACACACCTGCGTGCACACCTCCATCCCTCTGGTTGGGCGAGCTCTCCTCCTAAAACTGTCATCCTCTCTGCCTCCCTGGCCTTCACTCTCCCCCAGTCCCTCCAGAAATGGCCAGAACTGTAGCCATGTGTCTGTGTCAGTGATTATTTCTCATCTACCTGTCCCACTAGCCTGTAAAGCCTTTGAGGACAGGGACCATGTCTTAATGGGCACTTGTCCAAATGACCAAACAAGCCAATATATGCAAGGAATGAGTCCCACTAGCCTGTAAAGCCTTTGAGGACAGGGACTATGTCTTAATGGGCACTTGTCCAAATGACCAAACAAGCCAATATATGCAAGGAATGAGCCCTTTAAGACACCTGCTGGTCACCTCAGAAAGAGCCCTCCCCTCCGATAAAGTAAAGTAAAGTAAAAGGGTCCCACCAGGTTCACGAGGTGGCCTAGTGAGGATTGAGTCAAGGAGCCACAGGCAGATGAACAGGATAGACAGTCCTTGGAATGTCCACTGGTGATGCTAAGGACTCCTGCATACACCAAAAAGACAAGAAGCAGGTGGCCCCTGGTGTTCGAGGGTGGGAACCCAGGCTAACACTCTAACCATACTTGCTATCCATCATCTTGTCAGGCATCTTCCCCACTCCTGCAGCTCTTTGGCCAGTCAGGTGTGAGGTACATTCAGGAGTCTGGGAGACTTTGGAGTCCTTGTCCCAGTGGAAGGAGGCCATGACTGACAGCCAGCACAAGGGCTCCGGCAGACCCAGGCAAGGGCAGGGGAAGAGACCTTTCTGAGAAGTGGCAACAGCAGCTAGACCCTGAAGAAAAGGGAGTCTGCTCTTCCCTGGTCAGGAAGAATGTTCTGGACAGAAGGAACTGAGGAGAGCACATACTCAGGTGTTTGAGAAGCAGAAGAAAACTCAGTGCCTAAGCACAGAGAATTAGAGACTCAGGATGACAAGGATCAGGGTGATAGGCCAGGCCTCACTCTGTGGACAGGAGATAATTTCACACCAAGTCCAAGGGTATCCCTGAGAGCCACATTTCACAAACCATCTACAAGACTGCACTTTACTTTGTTTTATTAATTTCCAATTCATTGTGGCCAACATTTTGTATGATATAAAATCAAATCATGCACACAGCATCAATGTCAAATCATCATGAAAGTTTCCAGTCATATACCCAATCTCCATGTCTCTCTCATCTTGGGCTGGAACCTGTCAGCAGACCACATGTAGAACAGCCCTGCATGAAGGAACTATTTAGGAAAATGACACACCACAGTGGTGGATAGATTCTGTACAGTTAAAGAAACTGAGGCTAGAGAGGGCCAGTGACTTGCCAAGGGTCATGGGGGTGCCAGAGCCTAGTGTGGCACTGGGTATGTAGCTCCAGAGCCCTCACTGGGCTTTCCTGCCTTGACACTGGAGGAGAGCTCAGGTTTCTACTTAAGTCTTGTGGACATGACTGCCTCCCCGTCACTGAGCCTTGTCCTCAGCAAGCTGTCCGGTCCAGGCACAGTAAACAGAGAAAATAACAACATCTACCTCACTGGATCCTCTAGAGATTGAATGGGGAAATGTGCATGAGAGTCCTGGCATTGTGCCTGGCACACAGCAGATGCTCAGGGAAGAACTCTTGGTCTTACATCACTCTAATGACCTCAGTACCCTTGCCTCACGGTTCTGATAATGAATGAGTGATGGGACCATAGCAAGCCACAGAACCTCCTGGGACAACTTCCTCAGAATGTTGATATAATTAAATAGGTAGGACTCTGAAAATAAAAATCTATGTAGGACTCTGAAAATAAAAATCTATGTAGGATCTTAAGTCCCCCTCAAAGGTCCATGTAAAAGCTTGGTCCCCAGGGTGATCCTATTGTGAGGCAGGGGAACCTTTAAGAGGGGATGCCTAGCGGGAGATCTCTGGATCATTGGGGACATGCCCTTGAAGGGGATAGTGAGAGACTGGTCCCTTCCTCTTCCTCCCTTTTGTTGCCCAGTCATGAAATGAGTGGTTTTGTTCCACCACAGGCTTCTGTCATGATGTGCTGACTCGCCACAGGTCCAAAAGCAATAGGGCCAACCAATCATGGACTGAAACCTCCAAAACTATGAGACAAAATATACTTTTTCTCTTTATAAGTTGATTTATCTCAGTATTCATCATAGTGATGGAAATTTGACTAGCAAAGACATGTAGAGTAAGCCTGGCACACAGCAAGAACCAGATGGATGTTATTATAACTAAACTTTAATAGCTCCAAACAGTCTACAGAAGTAAGCAACCAGAACTATTAATTTGGCAAAGTAGAAGGAGACAAGGTCAATACACAAAAATTACTTACACTTCTATTCATTTGGAGGTTGCAATTTAAAAAATACCACTTATAACAGCATAAAACTGAAATAGGCTGAAACATACACTAAAATGACTAAGACGGTAACTTTTGTTAGATGTATTTATCATAATAAAAAAATTTTAACTAAAAAATAAAGGCAAGCTCTATGCAAAAAGAAGAAAAGAGAGAAGGAAAAAACATGGAATAGAAACAAAATTAAAGAAACAGGTGCAGACCTATACAGTGGAAACTACAAGATGTTGCTGGGAGAAATTAAAGAAAATCTACATAAGTGCAGGATGGTATTTATACTGGATCAAAGGATCTATTTAGTTACATTTCAGAAAAAGACCCAAGGGTACCAAGTCATCTCAATCAGAATGGCCTTTCCAACCCAAGTACAGGGATTGGGGATTTAGCTCAGTGGAAGAGCGCTTGCCTGGCAAGTGCAAGGCCCTGAGTTTGGTCCCCAGCACCAAAAAAAGAAAAAAAAATAGAAAAAAAAAAAAGCAACCTAAGTACAACTAAATCAATATGCCCCAATAAGAAAAGAGAACTTATATTTTTACCTCCCAACATCTAAAATAATAATTCAAAATAGATCATAACCAAAATAAAAAGGTAAAAGTATAAAACTTCTGCTCTTCAAAAGACATTGTTAAATGCCAGGCATGGTGGTACACACCTGTAATCCCTACACAGGAGGATCTTAAGTTTGAGGTCAGCCTGGGCTGCAAGAGAGACCCTGCCTCAAAAACAAAACAACAACAACAACAAAGACACTTAAGATGAAACAACAAGCCACAGACTGGTAGAAAATATTTGCAAAACACATTACCTCACAAAGGACTCTCGCAACTTGACACAAAACAACCCCAAAGAAAAACTAGGCAAAAGATTTGGACACCTCATCACAGAATAAATATGGAGGGTTATTTGTTTAAACATGTTTGAAATCATTAGTCATCAGGGAAATGCAAATCAGAACAACAAAAAGATAATAACTCTATACGCCTATCACAGTGGCCAAAAATCCAAACTCTGGTAACACCAAATGCTGGTAA